ATAAATCACATAAGTGTTCTGGATCTCAGTGTCATCTTTAGCTTTTGCAAACAACCTCCCCCCCCCTCCCCCCCAAAAAACACCTACCTTCTGGGTTATTCTAAGTTAAATATTTATAAAAGAACTCTGGGAAGAATAAAGCAATATTCAAAAGTTGATTATTATCATCTCAAAAATAAACATTCAAATATTTTTTTCTAATGCAGTGAGAAAGTCCTGATATCTGGAACATAGGAATGGCAAAGGTCTCAGAAACAAGGCCTATTGTGAAGCATGGAGTCCCATGTCTTTGGTTTAATTACCCACATACCCCAAAAGTAGTGGGGACCCTAATTACTCAGAAAATCCCCTATAAAATAAGTCATTTCATTAGACATAGCCAAAAGTGACTGGCAGAGGAGAGAAATGTCAATTGGCCGCTGAGGGTGGACCCAAAAGCTTTCTCATGGAAAAGCAAAGAGGAAATTCAAAAGAAGAGTTAAGAATTATTTAATACACATGGGCACCGGGGAGGCTTAGTCAGTTAAGTGTCTGGACTCTTGATCTCAGCTCAGGTCATGATCTCACAGTTCCTGAGATTGAGCCCTAAGGTGAGCTCCATGCTGACAGCGAGGAGCCCACTTGGGATTCTCTCTCTCCCTCTCGCCACACGCTCACTCTCTCTCTCTCTCTCTCCCAATATAAATAAATAAACTTAAAAAAAAAAGAATCATTTAACAGATGGAGAAAAATGTGACTGTAACTTAACTGTTCACATAGGTCTCACCAAATTACAAATTATAAAGTAATTGTTGTTTGGGATAAATGTGTTGAATTTTCAAAAAGATTCAAAAGGCATTCTGAATGCTTTAAGTAAGGACACATATAAACAAAATTTTAAATAAAGTTCCCAGGATAAATATATAAGATAAAGTGTTTAAGGGAACAGCAAAGTTTCATCCCCCTGGAAATCACTTATGTGTAACACCAGTTTTTCAAGGATGCTGGAAAAATGAGGTTCCACTCTAGTTTAGTAGTATGCAAGGTGCCACAGCATGCTTCTAAGAATTCAGACACTGTGCAGTACATGATATGTGATAGTAAACAAAAATTCTCTCCACAATTATAATGTATGAGAAAATGAGAGTCTACCTTCTTTGGAGAAGAATCAATTTCTAATAAAGCCAAGCAAGGGAATAAGTAGGTTAGTCTTATCTTAAATATGAAGCAAGAACTAATTGGTAAAAACTCCATGGAGTTTTATAGTGACAAGAATCTTTGCTAGAGTACCGATGGCAACGGATACCAACATTTACAAAAGGCTATTAGAGTTTACCTTCACGTTGCATTTTATTGCATTTAATTCCATCACTGTTTTATTGACATACAACTGAACCTTCAAACTTGTCAGCCTGGTCTCATGTTTTATGTCTTTACACCATCATTTCCTGTTAGTTACACATATTCTAAGCTCAGGGGTAAAACAACCTTTCTTGTTCCTGAAACTGTTCTTACTATCCCACATCTGCTTTTATCCCTGCCTTTCTCTCTGAATCCTATACTAAATCCTACGACAGATTCCATCAATTCCATAAGGCCTTTTCTGAAATATCCCTACTGCCCCCAGCACAAGCAGACTTTTCCCATTACAACTGTGACATTTTATTACTCCCATTGTTTTAAGTTTATTTATTTATTTTGAGAGAGACAGAGATAGCACGAATGGAGAAGGGGCAGACAGAAAAAGAGAGAGAGAGAGAATTCCAAGCAGGCTCTGTGCTATCAGCAGGGCTCGAACACACAAACCACAAGACCATGACCTAAGATGAAACCGAGTCAGATGCTTAACCAATTGAGCCCATGCACTCTATTGTTACCTTTTTTTGCCATAATTACTCAAACCTCTTATCTCATAGGCATCTAAGTGAGCAAGGTATATGAAGAGTATGGGAGTCAAACAGTCAAGAGTATCCCAGCTCCACAGTGCATGACTGATGAAGATATTAACTCCCAAGAGCCTTAGATCCCTGCTCTGAAGAATGGGGAAAATCATTTCTGACTTAACAGGCTTGTGCTTACGTAAAACATCAAGCTTGGAATGAACCAATTAATCAATAAATGCATGCATTTTGCCTCATGCCCCTGATCCTACAAAAAAGAAGGGAGGGGGTATTACAAAGTCACTCAAAACTATTTTTTTTCCTCAAAACTATTTTTAACTTTCCAAATCCTCTCCTCTTCTTTGCACTGACTCTGCTCTTCCTGAAGGTCTAGTATGCAATCTTCTAAAATGAATGTAAATTAATTAATTATGATCATTAGTTTAAGTGACAAGTGGAAGGTTCCAGCAATTCTTTGGGCAAAAATGCAGACTTGTAGTTCTGTATTTGTAAGAGTATGGACATAAAGATGTGAAAAGGAAAAGGAAGGCTGTTTCTGTGTCCCTAACAAGCAGTCAGTCACACAGTTAGAGCTTGGGAGCATCCACAACACTGTACCATCATGCACACTGCTGAATTGAAGAAAACAACCCAGGTTATAGCCTTAAGATAGTATTTTTTAAAATTACTTATAACCAGTTATTGCTCTAATGAGATTCATCAGAGAACATGAAACCCTCATTCAACCCTTCCCCCCGCCCGTTTTTTTTTTTTTCAACAACGCAAACTAGTACCGGGCAGTAATTCAAGAAACTGAAAACAAATCCCACAATGGGTGTTTCCTCTCACCAGATGCACTAAAATAGAAGATAATCAGGAGCAAGAAAAGCGTCGGAGAAAGTTTTAACAGATAAAAAAAATAAACTCTCCAAAGCTGTATTACTTACTAATCACTTCTGTTTTAAAAATATATCCCTTTTTAAGTATTCACATTCACACAAAAACCATACTGATAGAATATGTCTTCTTCCTTTAGAGAACACATTTAAAATTTGGTGTTTAAAATGAAGAGGTTACACATATGAAACTTTTAAAAATGCCTGCCTGGGCGTGAGGGCCTTGAGGAACGGAGACCTTATTCGTCACTAGCAACCACCACAAGACCTGGTATACTCAAGTCACTCGATAAGCTTTTGTTGCTTAAGCTGACATTGCAGTTAAGGCTGCAATATTAACACACAAAAAAGCACCAGCACAATTACGTGCACTTTAATGTAATTTCAAAACCATTTAGTAAATAAATTGAAACAAGTCAGTATCACTTATGGCTAGAAACCAATTATATAATAATTCAGAAAGTAGCTGAACCTTCCACACTTAACTACAAATGAGAGCAGTTTGTAAGAGCAACTGGAAACGAGGCAAATTGCAAGGTGGAAGATCCACCCCCACCTGTAGTAGATTGCAGGAGGCCACCCTAACAGATTTCATTACAGTGCCACCAGGACAAATATTGTGAACCTAAGTAAGTAATTAGCAAGAGATTTCCTGTATGAAAATAATACTTCCTCCTCTTAAAAATGGCCACCTATTGGGTTTGTAAATTAGCGGTATTTAAGAAAAGGCAAACAATATACTTAGGATAGGCTGCATGTTATCAAAAAACAGCAATCCAAAAACAAACTCAAGTGTTTAATTATAGGAAGCTAATGCGGTTCCCTATGAGGTTTTAGATAATTGTTTATTTTACCATATAAACATGACTATAAAAAAATCTAAGGCCATTTACTGGGAAAGTGCTACTGTTAATTACTGTTATACTAGCTGAAATCTACCGAAACATTTAAAATCATGTGGGCTACTGGAATTGATTTTAATTTTCCAGGTGCCCCACATAGTTGAAATCCTGCCTTTAACAACAGCCAATTGACAAAGTCTGTGCGATCATTAATTACATAACAACTATGCTAATCATATACTCTGGATTCAAATATCCTTTAACACTGCATAAGAAATATTTATGTTACATGTTAGCCTGATAAACAACTCAATAAAACCACAGCAATTGGAAGAATTATTTTCCCACATACTGAGATGTCTAATAAAATGTGTCACTTGAAACTCTGTATTTTTGTCCCCTGCTGGTTCAACTTTTCATAGAACTTAACCAAATGTTTGGGTGGCAGGGGTTTTCATGAATCAAGATTGTTAGCAAGCTACAAGGTTGAAGGAACACTGTGAGAATTACTCCTTTCAAGTTTAACCTAACAACCACATTGCTTTGCTTTTCCTTCACTTGCTAAATCCATTACATAATACATTTAAAAAGCATGATGAATTCACATTAATTTCCGAGTAATTTAACAACAGACTGGTATACAGTTTTTGAAGGAATTTAGTCACTGATAGGGTTTCAGAATTGATTAATGTCCCACCTCTCGAAACAGCCTTCCTGCATGGAAATGTTTCTGTGTATACAGTGTTTACATGCCTGCACATACCACAATTTATCATGTTTCACTGCCGTGCATTCCTTTACTGGTTTTAAATATGCATGCTGCAATACCTACAGAACAGAAATAAGTCAAAGGCACAATAATGGTGCTTATTACAAAAAAAGGAGGTGGAAAGGATATAAATTGGTGTCCAATTTCCTCATTCTAAGAACATTAAAAAAAAAAGGGGGCTGAGACCCAGAAATTGACTTAGATACTGTCACAAGGTTATTTAGCATTAGGACTAGATCAAGACTTTTTCCCATGACACAACTTGAGTAACCTAAGATTATTATCTTTACCATGGGCATTCTGAGAGCAGAAGCTGGGTTCCTAGAAAAAAATTTTTAAACCCATCATTCATAATAAATAAATTACCATTCATAAAAATCAACCCTCTACATCAATCCATGAAGTATATGCAATGAAAAAACTTGGTAATTAATTGTTCTTGGCACCTCCACCAGCATTTGCAAGGTGGACTTGGAATTCAGGAATAGGAACAAAGCTCTTATGTTTTCACTGAACACTTGCTTCAGGATTCACCTTTGTGCTGCTAGACCTTTGGCAGAGACTCCACATTTGCTGACAGGGGTATGGGATTGGTTGCTCACAGCCACCATTAAACCTTGTCATTGTAACCTACCTCCTTGGCCATGTCTGTGTATTTCTGCTTTTCCTTTGGATCTAGAACAGCCCACCAATCAGCCAGTATCTTGGTAGCACCTCGGTTATCAAGCCGGGGGTGTTCCTGTCGTACAAGGGAGCGATGACGTTTGCAAAATAAGAGAAATGCATTCATTGGTCTCCGGGCTCGTTGTTCTGGTGATTCATCATCAGTCTCACCAACATCTTGCTCTAGGCCATCGGCCCCAAGAAGTTGAACCTATTACCAACCAAAACAAAAGCCAGATGTTTAACACATCCTGGACAATTTTGCTTTAACAATCAGTTTGGCTTTCAAATTGTATTTTTTTACCTTCATTTAAACAACTTACAAATTGGAAAAAAATTAATCATCAGCCACTATTAGTGGTTGATAACCAACTTACAATGCCTTCTGCTTAGTTTCTATAGCAACCTGTGCATGTCTCTATTACAGAATATATCATGTTATAATTGCTAACATTTTCCCCCTCACTAAACAGTGAACTCTTTGAGGACAAAAGTTATTTACCTTTACAACCACGGCATCTAGTTCAATGGCTAGTACAACATCAGTACCTAACTAACTGCTCAATAAATAAATAAACTCATGCTGTGATATATGTGTTTCAAGATTAACAACATTTACACACAAACAAAAATATATGAATATTAGTTGTTTCTCCTGTTTGGAAAGTGCTTTTCTACAGCTAATAATATGAGTGTTTAACATAAAAGTAGACTAAAAAATGTAATGTATGCACATCACAAGTGGAGCCTCCTATTGTAAAAATCAAAATAGACATTTAACATTATTTGAAGGAGGAACCATGTAGTAAATTTTCAAGCCTGTAAATATCATTTAGTGAAATGCTATGATGACAGGAGTAAATTCACTTGGGCTTAAACCTTCAAAATAGATTCTGAATCCCCCCTTTCGCTCAGCATTTCATTCAATTCCCGGTCTTCAAGGACTTCCACAAAGCTCTGATCCCACCCATCCCATCTGCGTAACTGTCAATCCCACTGCCTGAGCCTATGGCCTAGTCTCTCTGCTTCCTTTTCTTTTTTAATTTTTTAAAATGCTTATTATTTTTGAGAGAGAGAGACAAAGAGAGAGAACAAGTTGGGTAGGGGAAGAGAGAAGGGGGGGGGCAGGGGATCCAAAGCAGGCTCTGCACTGACAGTAGCCAGACTGATTTGGGGCTCAAACTCATGAACCATGAGTTTGTGACCTGAGCCGAAGTTGGACACTCAAAAGACTGAACCATGCAAGTGCCCCGGGCCTAGTCTTTCTGCTTCTAATCTCTTTCGGTACTTCTTGCACATGGCTGCAGATACCTCTGATCACAGAATCTCAGAATATATTAGGACTGTTAAATATCTTCTAAGGCTAAAATATGATTCTATGAGATTTCTTGAAAACAGTACAACCACAAACAGAAGTCCAGAAGGCTTACTAAAGCTATGTCTTTAATTTCTTGTTTCATAGTTAAAATCAAGAAGGACTAAGGTAGTTGTTAATCTGCATCATATAGTAGAGCATTACTTCTTCAATTTGAGTGGGCAGTGGAATCCCTGGAGGTCTTGTTAAATGAAACACAGATTGTTGGGTCCCATTCCCAGAGTTTCCAATTCTGTAGGTCTGGAGTGGGCCTCCAGAATTCATATTTGTAAAAGTTCACAGGTGATATTGATGTTTTTGGTCTGAAGATCACACTCCGAGAACCACTACTGTAAGGCAACGGTGTTCTTCTACATCATGTTTTATTGGGAAACTGCGACAGCTACTCTAGTATGAATCACTAGCTTAATCCAATTTGGTATTTTTAAAGTCTTGTAAGTTTAAATTAAATATTGCAAATGCATTTAATTAACCATCAATTATCTTCAAACAAAATAATATGGTGGAACAATCTTGAAGTCATAGCTATCTGATTTGGAAATACATTAGAGATTATTATTGGGAGTGAAGGCTATAGATTTCACTTCCTCATTATGTATACAATCATTAACAATTATTTGCATTTTTAAGGAATATTTATTTAGCATTCTGAATGCTAAATAAAAAGGAATATTTAGTTAGCTTTCAAAACTAAGAAGCTACGAAAAATCAAGACATAAAAAGTATATTACGTAGGTTGAAGAAGTAATTACATTTTCCCTTCAGAAAAGAATAACTTTTGATTCAGTTACTAAGTTATAAAACTCAAGCCAAGAGCTGGAAAAAAAGATAAATAAGACAAGATCCTGGACCAAGGAACTTACTGCTTGTGGAGGGTGGAGGGGCGGGGGGAGAAAGAGAGAAAAGCAAATTAATTAAAAAGCAGTATGATGACTATTACAAGGAGCCAGTGTTATAGTGAAGCACTAGTGGAAGGGTGGAAGCTCACCAAAGTCTCCCTAGAAACCGTGTTGTCTGAGCTAGATTCTGAAAGATGAATCAGAATGTGTCAGGTAGTCAATGGAGAGACACGGAAACCGAAAAAGGATTAAGGCTCGATGACTGACTGATGTACAGTTCAATAGCACTGGTAGATATAAGACTAGAACATGGACCCAGGACATGAGGTTGTAGAAGTAGGTATGGACGGACGTACTTCATGAAGAATGTGCTCTGTCATGTAAAATAACATGCATTTAATCCTATAAATAAGTAGTTGCAGACTGTAAAAAACAAAACAAAACAAACAAAACAAAACAAAACAAAAAACACCTTAGGGGGAACAACATAGGTTATCATATTTTACTAGATTATTTATTTTGCCAAATATGAATATTAAAAAATGTTGGCAACTACTATTTAATGTCACAATTATCTCATTAAATTAACCCCAAAAATGAATAAACAAATGAATAAATAGATAAAATTATATACAAGTGAAAAACTCTCTATCTGGACTTAAATTTTTCTTTCACCAGGGCCCAGTAATACTTTGTAACAAATCAACACTTGTACCAGACCAGGATATGGAAACCACAGCTGGATGCAATAGAGAGCCATGAGTGGTTTTCAGCATAGAAGAGACATCACCAGATCTGTACTTTAGGATAACTCCTATCAGCAGTGTAAAGCATGAATTATAATATCAAAACGAGAAGCAATCCAAACTAGAGAAACCATTTCAAAGTTTGTTTCAGCTGTCCAGGTGAGAAAGGAGACAGGGCTGAATTAAGGCCGTAATGATAAGAATGGAGAAGTGAGAACACAGACAGTATTTATTTATGAGGTAGAGCCAAGACAGTTGGTATCCAATTGGATTTAACGGTTAAAAAAGGAAGAGTGCTTCTATCTACCTTTAGTGGCAAGATTCCTTCATACACACCAGAGAATGCTTTTTCTCAAATGAGAGAAATTAGATAGGGTTGGGAGCAGAAAGATCGGTATCGGGTAGGCAAAATGTCAGGTGGTTCTCAGCAGAGAAGTCTTGGCTGGGATTATGAACTGAGGTAAGAATACAAAGAAGGCAAGACTAGAAAAGTGGATGAGATCACCAGGTGTGGACTGAAAAGAGAAGGGAATTCAATGATTCCATTCTTTCTCTCAGTAACTGCGTACTGGGCAACTGATAGGGACCAGGCACTGTTCTAGGTGGTGCGGGTAAATCCATGAGCATATGAATTCCCTGCCTTCATGAAGCAGAAGAACAGCACAGCCAGGCTTTCGTTCTGAACAGATCCCTCTGGCTGCTCTGTTGAGCAAAGACTGGAAAAGCAAGAGCAGAGGCAGGCAGAGCAGCAGAATATATGCTAATCTGCACTAGAAATGGTGGTGGTTTGGACCAAGGAGGCTGTGGTGACCTTGCTAAGGAGGAGTCAAACTGAGAACATATGTAGAAGGTATGGCTTGAGAATATGCAAATAGATGGATGGATGCATATGAGACATGAGCAAAAGAAAACAGATAAGCTTTCTGATCTCACCAACCAGAAAGTTGGGGGCTCCCATTTACTGAGAAAGGGAAGATACAGGATGATGGGGTTCAAAGTTTCATTTTGAACACATTCAGACAGAGGTTCTGATTGGAGATCTAAGTGGATATGTTAAGAAAACAGTCAAAAATATCAGTGTAGAATTTAAGGATTGAGAAAGAAATTAAGAAGCCCACAGTGGGCCACCTGGGTGGCTCAGTAGGGTTAAGCGTCTGAGCATCTGATCAGGTTGTGATCTCACGGTGCATGAGTTTGAGTCCTACACTGGGCTCTGCATGGACAGTGAGGAGCCTGTTTGGGATTCTCTCTCTCTCTCTGCCCCTCCCCTGCTCGCTCTTTCTCTTTCTCTCAAAAAATAAAGAAACAAAAATTAATTTTTTCTTAAAACAAGCCCAGAGAACACCAATATTTGAGGGCAGAATAATGGAGGGGCATCAAGAGAATGAAGGTAGGAAGGTGAGGCTGGGAGTAGAAACAGTAACAGAAGGCAGCCTCCAGGACCAAGTGATCGACAGGCACAAATATGTCAGAAAGATCAAATCAGTATCAACTTGGCAATGTCCTCAAATAGAATGAGTAACAGTGGTCTCTCTGAAAAGAGAAGGGGAAGGAAAAGATGGGTGAGTGAAATAAGTATACAGATGAGTAGAGGAAGCTGAAGGAATCGTTTCTGGCGGCCTCTATTTTCTCTGTAAAAGAGGAGAAAAAGATCAACAGTGAGAGAGACTAAAGAGGATCCAGATAAGATGTCTGAGAAACAGGAAAAACAGAAAAAAATGTAAGCTGACCCAAGCCTAGAACAAAAGACTGAATGGATGTCAAAGGTCTGCAGGATACTAAAAACAGGCTTATAAAAGTTGTAGTGACACGAAATATGTACTCATTTATTCTTCCATTGAACATACATCTTTTCAATACTTGCTATGTGCCAGGCATCATTCTAGGTTCCAAGGAGTAAGAGGAGGATATGTGGGGCAATACCTCTGCTCTTACTGAGCTTATATTCTAGTCTGGCAAGACAGACATACACAGGTATACAGCTAAGCGCAAGTTAAATGGTAAGAAAAGCCAGGAAGGAAATCCTTGGACATGGAATGAGTTGGGTGGGAGGGTCACCTGGGATGATGAAGCCCCATCTCTTGGGGAGGTAGTCCTTGTGCTGAGAGCTGAATGAGGAGGAGGAGGAACCAGTTCCGCGTAGACTTGGAGGAATGTGTGGCTTTCTAAAGTCACCTGCATGGCTGTGTGACCTTCTAAATGAGAGCTGGCTGCTTAAGCATGAGACCAGAGAAGGGGACGGAGAGGACTGACTGACCACGGAGGACTGGTGGGGGTGAAAACAGCCAGATGTCATGAAGGCAGTGGAGATGAGGGCTGGAGCAGCTGCAAGACTGTCCACAGGAGGCAGGGCTAGGCTGAAGCAGAGAGAGGCCAGAGGGGCAACGAGATGGGTGCCAGGCAAGTGCATCAAATTTTATAAATACCCCCATCTCCACTGCATTGGAGTGCTACCATATTACCTGAAAATCATTAGTTAATAGACAGAAATACCACTGAAGAAGATCTGTTTCTGTCTAAATGATTAGGAAGTACAGATACTTTAGGAACCCTCAATATCTGGAATAAACATATACATTAAGTAAATAGGATTCAAGTTATACAGACTTTTAGAAATGCATCTTTCTCACCAATCACTGTAGTTTCTGGAATGAATATTCAAAACTTCTATGTTAAACAGAAGAATTACCTTATCAATATCCTCCTCTTCGTCTTCCTCTTCCTCCTCTTCTGAAAAGTCAAGCAGTTTCTTTGCTAGCAATGGATGCCACTGAAGACACTTTCGTTTTGGTCGTTTTCCAGCCCCTTCTCCGTCTGCTGAGTGATCTTTATTTCTATTACTGCCTTTCATTACTGTGACCTGTGGTAAGGAAAAAAAGGAGAGAAACAGAGAGAAATCAAAGTAAATTTGATTAAAATTTGTTTATTTAGCTTCCTTAGCTTTAATTGGATTATAGTTTTAATGACTAAAGTATCTACCAGCTCAGGCATTTACTGGATTCAGTAAGAATTCTAAGTACATAATCAAACATTCATTTTAGTTGGCTGAATGGAGCTAATAAAATTTGCCTTTTGTGAAATCTACTTCCTTCCACTCCCTAACTTCAGAACTCAAAACCCGAATACAGCAGTAGGATGCCTACAAGTTACTGTCACCTGTTCACACTTACTCAGGGTAGTGTTTCTCAAAGCTGTGCATCAGAAGACTGTGAAAAGATAGAGAGAAGAGGTGCTCACAGAGGTGGCCCTCCACACATTCTCCAATGGCTCCCATTTTATTGTAATAATTTACGTTTTGCACTCTACCATAAGATAAATCTGAGCCTGGAGGGTTAGTAAGCAGAAAAAATACTCTGTAAGAATCAAATGTTTGGATTAAAATAAAACTATTTCACAAGATGACACACAATTTTTAAAAAGTAGCGGTGTGCAGCCTCCAAGGACCCAGTGCATGAAGTCACTGTAGGTCACTTAGCAAGATGAGCAGCCTCTGTCCCATCTGTGACACACATAATCAAATATTTTGCATCTCTTCATTACATATGCACCCGAATCCAGTAACCAAGTTTTGCTCCCTAGGCTTTTTGTTCTTGCTCTTCCCCTAAAAGTTGATTGGCTGAAATAGCTAAGCAATGACCAGCCTATGATGTGACAAAATCTTTTCAGAAGCCTAGAAACTAAGTTACTTTTGGATGACTTGAAAAACATTTTTTCTTAAAGATAAAAACAACACACATTCTAAAATAGCACTAAAAATAGCACAAAATGAGGTTTGCATTCTCCATCACACCCAGCACCACAGCCGAGAGGTAAATCACACATGTCAATTTCTTATATGCATTCTCACAGTATTTTCCTAGTTCAACAGTTCTCATTCATTCATTTTAAGTAACAATATACAAATTATTGTCCATATGTACTCATGCAAAAATTCAAATATCCAAATGCTATCAACTTAAATGGTTCATGTTGACGATTACAAACACAAACACAGTTGCTGATATCACAGAAAAGTATAGCCTTTTTGGTCAGTAAAAGTGTGCATTGGTCCAAATGCTTGCAAAGTGGTATCAATAAACTTCTAATGCCATGTTGCTAAAACTAGATTTTCATAAAGTTTCAAGATTCATTCTGTTCTGAAGCCTTTGAAACAATATGGCATAGGCAAATTTATCCTGTCATTGTTTCATGTTTCATGCTTAGGTCTTCCTCATTTCAAAACAAAACAAAAAAAATCATTAATATTTCTCTCTAGAACTGGCATGATTTCATTATAAAAAAGAATTTTAATACTGGACCAATCTGTAATTCATTCTGATAAAGGAAATAAGGATCTTATTCTTTTTTTCCCAAATAACTAGCCAACTCTCCCAACAGCATTTGTTAACTAATCCAGCTTTTTCTCATTCCTTTGAAATGACCCTTTTATCCTACACTAAATTACTATCTATTTCTGGATTCTCTTCTGTCAATGATCATTTGCCTCTAACCTGTTTGCCTATCCTTTGACCAATTTTAAAAACCTTAGGGACTACATCATTCTGTATCTTCTTTTATATACAAATACAGCAGTAAACACAGCCATTTAGAAATTTTAATTTGCACAGATCATGCTCATCTAAGCCAATACATCTTTACCGTCCTCATTTTGTAATAACTACAGAATATTCCAAAATAAAAATGTATTGCAATTTATTCAATCATTCCAGTATTGATAATCAGATTATTTCTTGTGCTGCAGTAAAATCTTTATTTTAATAAAAATTTTTAAATCTCCATCTTTATAAAAATCTTCAATTTATTAAAAGCTATGTTTAGTCAAAAGAAGGAGGAAGAGGAAAAGAAAAACATGTTCCTATGGCCTTTTTAGCAAGAAACTTCTGCTGAGTCTCTGAGGCAATTATATGATTCATGTGGCTGCCTCAAGAGTGTAAAAAGTTACTGAAAACTCTAAATGGAATTAGTTATCTGCTATGCTCTTAAAAAGCAACAAAGGTTTCTCGTGAACTGATAGACCATAGACCATTTAACAATTCTCATTCTATCTACAAATAAAATTTGGCACAGGCAACCCAATTTCCAAAAATACCAATGCTATGTAGAGAGAAGAGGAAGCCGTTATTTTTGTGGCTTATTAATCACTTCAGGATGAGCTGCTTGAGTGGCAAGTAAACCCATATGGTGGCCCCAATATTTTCGGAGGTATAACATTTTTATGGCCTTTTGTTTTGCACTTAAAAAAAATCCTTTTAACATTTCTTATAAGGCCGGTTTAGTGGTTATGAACTCCTTTAATTTTTGTTTGTTTGGGAAACTTTATCTCTCCTTTAATTCAGAATAATCTTGCCAGGTAGATTATTCTTAGTTGTAGGTTCCCCCGCCCCCCTTTCAATCCTTTGAATGTATCATGCCACTCCCTCCCTTCTGGCCTACAAATATTGCTGCTAAATATTTGATGGGTCTTATAGGGGTACCCTTGTATGTAACTAGTTGCTTTTCTCTTGCTGCTTTTAAGACTCTCTTTAATTTTTGGGGCGCCTGGGTGGCACAGTCGGTTAAGCGTCCGACTTCAGCCAGGTCACGATCTCGCGGTCCGGGAGTTCGAGCCCCGCGTCAGGCTCTGGGCTGGTGGCTCAGAGCCTGGAGCCTGTTTCCGATTCTGTGTCTCCCTCTCTCTCTGCCCCTCCCCCGTTCATGCTCTGTCTCTCTCTGTCCCAAAAAAATAAATAAACGTTGAAAAAAAAATAAAAAAAAAAAGATTCTCTTTAATTTTTGACATTTTAATTATGATGTGTCTTGGTGTGGATCTCTTTTGAATGCATCTGGTCAGGTGCTCTCTGTGTGTCTGTTTTCTTCTCCATGTTAGTGAAGTTTTCAGCTATTACTTCTTCAAGAAGTTTTTCCCTCTCTCTTCTCCTCCTGGCACCCCTATAATGTGAATGTTAGCATCCTGTTACTGTCCCAAAGGTTCCTTAAGCCTTATTTTTTACAAAATGATTTCAGGAGTAGTGACTCATCACTTACATATAACACCCAGTGCTCATCCCAACAAGTGCTCTCCTTAGTGCATCCTTATTTTTTTTAATTGTTTTCTTTTTGCTGTTCATCTGGGGTGATTTCCACTACCCTGCCTTTTAGATGTCTGTTCTGTTCTGCATCATCTACTTTGCTGTTGATTCCCTTCAGTATATTTTTCATTTTGGTTATTGTATTCAGCTCTGACTGGTTCTTTTCTATATTTTCCTTCTCTTTGTTGAAGTTCTCACTGGGCTCATTCATTCGTCTCCCAAGTGTGGTGAGCATCTTTATGACCATTATTTTGAACTATTATTTATCAGGCACACTTTGTTTCATTTAGTTCCTTTTCTGAGGTTTTGTCTTTCATTTGGAACATATAATTTTGCCTGACTTTCTGTGTTTGTTTGTATGTATTAGTAGGCCAGCTAAGTCTCCTGGTCTTGAAGGAGTGGCCTTACATAGAAAGTTTCCTGTGGGGCCTAGAAGTGCAATGCCCCCTGGTCACCAGGACCAAGTGTTCCAGGGGTGTCTCCCGAGTGGGTGGTGTACAACCTCCCGTAGTGGCTAGATTGGAATAGGTGCAGGTGCTCTAGTCAAAGGGCTGGCCCCCAGCCTGGTTGGCTGCAGTGTCTGGCCATGCTATGGTAGCACTAATGGGTGGGCCTGGACTCCAGTGTAGCTGGCTGAGAGGCCTGGCTATTGTGGTATTGCTGAGCAGGGCTGGCCCCTTGTGTGGCTGGCTGGGAAGCTTAGGTATGATTGTTGTGGTCATGCTAGTGAATGGGACTGCCTCCCTCCCTGAATGCCAGCTGCTTTGTGGGGACTCTAATCCAGGCTGAGGCTGTATGCTGGGTGCAGTGGGGCAGGATCTTTTGCGGGGGGGGGACACACACACACACACACACACACACACACACACAGAGGTTTCAGCCAAGGGCTCCTGCTGAGTGTAGTGAGGTAGACCCACTCTGGGGGAGGCTGGGGGTGCTAGTCCTGGCCAAGGTAACTTGCTGGGACAGAGGCTGCCTGGTGGTGGGGAGTGGCAGGAGAGTGGGAGCCACTTTGCTGGGTTGCAGTTTCAGCGAAGGCTGCCCACCAGGGCAGGAGCCCCTTTGGAGGGATGCCTTCTGGGGTGAGTCAGCAGAGGAATGCAGGGGGAGGAATGAGCAGTGCTAACAAGGTAGATGGAGAGTATCAGAAATGGCCCCCACAAGCGACAGGCTAGCTAGGTCAAAGGAAAGAAAAACGGTGCCTTCCAGTGAGTGCTTCCATTCCCAGAGAAATTTCCTACAGATCCCTGCTGCTCTGGCATATACCCTAAAAATTAGTCAAAAAACATTCTTCATGTATGGCCCAGGTGTTTTTCAAACTGCTCTCTGCTGGGTCTTAGCGCAAGTGAGATTGTGCGTGAGTCCTTTAACAGCAGAGTCCTAGTTTCCCATAGCCCTCTGCTCACCTGTTGTTAAGCCCTGCTGACTTTCAAAGCCAGACATTATGGGGGCTCATCTTCCTGGAGTAGGGGACTGCCCGATGTGGGGCTGGACCTCCTTACTCCTCAGAGAGAACCTCTGTGTTGGTGATATCCCTACTGTGTCTCTGCCCCTCCTACCCTTCTCGGTGTGGCTTTTTCTTTTTATCTTTAGTTGTGGAAGACCTGTTCTGCTAGTCTTCAGAGAGAGTTGTTCCATATATAGTTGTAGTCTGAGTACGTGGTCTGTGGGAGGAGGTCAGCTCAGAATCATCCTACTCTGCATCTTAATCCTATCTTTGTTTATGTAACCCACTTTTTATTTATTTATTTATTTTTATTTTTTTCTTAATGTTTTTATTTATTTTTGAGAC